GATTTGGGCTGAGGAACATAAGGTTTTTGCAGGAGGATTTTTAAACTGCATTGTGGGAGCAGATTTCCCTAAGTTCTCATTTAGGAGCTGGGAGATAGTTACTAGAGAAGCAAAATAAAACTTTGGCCACCTGAAACAATACAGCGGGTATTTAAACGAAGGGTTCAAACAGCCCAGGTTTCCACGGGGGAAGGCACGGGTCTGCAATCAGTGCGTATGGAGCTCCCAACACAGGCACTAAGCACCCGTGTGCAATGGACGTGGGCCAGACCCCATGCAGGAGGCTCAGGTGAGTCAAGTCTCTCATTCCCTGAGGCAAAGATTACCTTCACAGAATCACAGAATGCCGCACGTTCGAAGGGCCCTCTAGAGATCACCTAGCCCAACACCCCTGCTCTAGCAGGGACACCCAGAGCACGTGGCACAGGGTGGCAGCCAGGCCGGTTTGGAAGATCCACAGAGAAGGAGACTCCACAACCTCTCTGGGCAGCCTATTCCAGTGCTCTGTCACCCTCACAGTAAAGAAGTTCTTCCTCACATGGAGATGGAACTGCCTGTGTTTCCACTTGTACCCATTACCCCTTGTCCTATCACTGGCTACCACCAAGAAGAGCTTGGCCCCATCCTCCCTACATTCTCCCTCAGGTACTTATACATATTGATCAGATCTCCCCTCAATTTTCTCTTCTCCAGGCTAAACAGGCCCAGCTTGCTTAGTCTTTCCTCATAAGATGGATGCTTCTGTCCTCTAATCATCTTTGTTGCTCTATGCTTGACCCTATCTAGAGGTTCCACATCCCTCTTGCACTGGGGAGCCCAGAAATTAACATGACAGGGAATGTGAAGGGGATGAAGGGACCCACACAGCCAAGGCCCGCAGTGCAGAAGTGTGTATTGCACTGGCTAGTCTTTGCAAGGGCCAAAGTGATGCTGAGTCTGAACACGTGGCTTTGGGCAAGGAAGTGGAACTTTTGGTTTATTTTACCTATATTTATCCATAAGATTGCAAAGAGGATTTGTTCTAGGCTTCAAAACTTCAAATGGCTACACCTATCTGACTGGATGGGACTTAGTTTCCTAAAAACAGTATTAGTAAACACAACTATATGGTGATACACTAACGTACACATATTGTGGAGATTTATCAAGACATCACAGCTACCCTCAATTTGTTCCAGCAGTTAATTAAATTGCAGAAATTTCACTATCATGATTGGTGCATCTCACAAGAATGGCCTTGGGGTTACAGTGCCAGCAGCAAGAGCCACCTGAGAAGGACGTGTGCCCTGGAGAAGTGACCTGTCCTGCCTTCATTGGGACATGAATATGGGGATGTGGCTTCAATCCTGGTCTGAAGTTAATCAAATTGTCAAATTGTCAATCAAATCAACTAGTGAGAGCTGAGGCTCTTGTAATTCCCCTCCATAGTCCTGCTGGCTTTTGCATGGTCCACAACCTTGGCTAATGCTCTTTTTGACAGCCAGGTAGGATAAATGCACTTTCCGTGTGACACTGGACTTTTATGGGAGTCTTTCTGTAGTCTAGAAATACAGGACTAACTCTACTTTCTTTGGAGCACATGCAAAATTACGTTCTTTGGCCAGAGTGGCACTGAGCTTAAGTAAAGAACTAATTCACCCATTGTGATTTTTTTAAAAACTGTTTTGGTTTTGTTTTTTTGTCCCCTCCTCTCCCACATCTTTTTCTTTCTCCCCTTTTCAGGAGTTTTTCTTCCTCTGAGTTATCTCAACTACTAACATTATTTAATATCTTACTATTTAATGGCCATTTCACAGAGTCATTTAGTTTGGGGTCTGCTGGATGTAAGCAGGATATCTTTTCTCTGCAGG